TTATGGTGAAGCAGGGCACTTCAAAAGGAATTGCCCCAAGGCAGCTACAACCACTGATCCCTCTGTCGCCGTAGGTATACTTCTCTTTTATAATTTTTATACCTGCAACTCTTTTCGATTCTAGTACAATGAGGGAAACCCGTTATCTATCTATTCGAACATTTCCTAAGCTCAATCCTTCGTATGTAATCGAAATGTGTACCATCGAGACGACTAACCAGTGAGATAGAGAACACTAACTTCGTACCTATAGATTGAATCCTCAGTCCAGAGGACTATTCTGTTCCATTCGATTTAAAAGGGGGAAAACTTTTTACGAAAATACTTTGATGCTATGATTGACATGAAATGACCGAGTCTCATTCATGTTGTTATCTTTAGTTTCGAAAGGGTCGCTCGTCTAGGTCTTTTCCCGACCTGGTTCTTGTGATCTTCGGCATCAAACCTTTGTATCATCCCACGCCTTAAAACTTAAAAGTTTTTCCTAATATGAATTACCACGCATCCCTTGTTTCTATGATCATTGGGAAACGGGAAGTTAGCAGCTTTTTCCTCTAAATGTCTTTCCCGAAGGATTCCCGGGAATTTCTTTTGAATGTCTAGTTTAGTCCTATATCAGACCCTTTGAGATCTTCGTAGAAATCGATTCTGCAATCTTCAGATTTCGGATGCCCTTAGAGCTTGGTAACATCTATCCAGTACATCATGTCTCGAATCCTTAGAAGCATCTACCCAATCGAAACCCTAGTGATTCCTCTGAGGAAACCGAAGTCGTCCAGGGTTGGAACTTCCATGAGAGAACAAATTGATATCGTAAACTGAGAGAGAGTCAAAGTACGAAACAAAGACACGTCTTGATAGTGAGAATTCGCTAGAACGCCCAGTAGAGACCTGATTCCACTTGAGAAAGTAAAGATCCGAGGCAACAAATCCATTCGTGTTTCATTTCAAATTCATGATCTATATCTTAATCTTTGAATTTCGGGACGAAATTCCCTCTAACGGGGGGATAATGTAACAACCCGGAGTTTTCCATCGTCGAAAAACCCGTTCTACCCGTATAACCTACCGTATATCGAAACGTTCCGATGTCGTTTTTGGGTTAAGTTAATTAAGTTATATGTTTAATTAATGCTAATGAATGTCCAAACCCCTTAGGAACTCAAGAAATTAGCCCAAATCATTTATTTCAAAAAGCTTAGAAACGTCCCCGCCGGATGACGGAAACTTAATCGGGTGCGACCTAAAGCCCCGTTTAATGTCGGTATCGGGTAGAATTCCACCATGTCCAAGTTTTGGGAACCATTTAAGCGTGTTTAAACATTCATTTGAAGCTTTTTCTTCCTCTCTCTACTCTCTTTCTAACCTCTCTCCTAAATCCAAGTTTAAGGGTCCAAAACTTAATTTTAAAGCCTCAAATCCCTAAGGTACCTTCCTAACCTTAATATATAGCATATTTGGCTTCCAAATTCGAGATTAAATCATGGATTAAGACCTTGTAGATGAGTTTACGGCCCTGGAAGGAGCTTGGGCCGTAAACACAGAATTAGAGGGTTTTTAAGCCCTAAAACCCTTCCTAAACACAATTGGACCTTAGATATGGCTAGATGACTTCATGAAATGGACTTAGAACATTTTATTCTTGGATTTTGATGGATTTGAAGGATTTTACGGCCAAGGCACATGCTTGGGCCGTAAACTCATATATATGGGGTTTTTATGACCTTAAACCCTTCCAAAACCTCAACAAGACATGGATATGACTTCTAGAATAATTGCTTTAGCCTTGGAACACTTTTAACATAAAATTTGGGGGATTTATATTAGTTTACGGACAAGGCAAGTGCTTGGGCCATAAACTCCCCAAACATGGGTGTAAACTCACTTCTAAGGTGTTAGAAAGCCATCCAACACCACCAAAAGCCTTGGAATAAATCATAGAACCAACCAAAAATAGTTTAAGGACCATAAACACAACAAATCTTATCGTTTGAGGGTTTACGGCCATAGCATGTGTCCCATGGCCGTAAACTCCAAAAAGTGTGTCATAATGTGTCCCAAATTCATTTCAAGGCTTTAAGGAAATTTTAGAGGTACATATAAACAAGTTTTCGGCCTTAAAACACAAGGAATCCCTCTCTAGGAGAGTTTACGGCCATGAGGTGGGTCTCATGGGCCGTAAACTCCAAAAACCCCTCCAAAAGTTCAAGAAAATGCATCTAAGGCTTTGGATTAAATTTAGCAATCACATGTGATTGGTTTTGGCATCATTTAACACATTTTCCATAGGTATTTAGGAGTTTACGGCCAGGAGTCCATGCTAGGCCGTAAACTCCAATAATTTAGTCATTTTGATGTTAAAAATCCATTCCAAGCCCTTAAACCAAACCTAGAAATTATTCCCTAAGTGTTTGAAGCCATTTTGCACCATAAACTACCCCACCATGAGTTTACGGCCGTAAACTCATGGGGAGAGGGTCATTAGGGTTGTAAACTCCCTATGGAGTGTTCTTTTGGAGTCCTAATTCAACATCCTAACTATATGTGTCCCCAAATGTCACCCGGGTCCCTCCAAACACTTGTATCGGGGTGTTTTCGCGACTAGAATTAATTGTCCCTATCAAATAATTAATCTAAGTCCTAATTAGATACAAATGTGTATCTTTATATTATACTTAGGAACCTCGTGCATTTGCAAGCCCCGAACCAACACTTAGCATCCAAATCATCACGTTTCTCATCCGGTGAGTTCATACCCCTACGCCCTTTTCCGTGTTTTTCAATGTTTTCAGGGGGGGGGGGAATACAAGCAAACTATAATTGTTTTCAAAACTTAACATTGATGTGTTTCAAATAATATCAGGCAAAAATTTATAAACACTTTTACTCCTTATGTATTATGCTGAGCATAAGGAATGATTTATCAAATTCAACTAAATGAATTTTAGTTAAGAAAATAACCAAACTAATCAAATTATTATGGGAATAATTTGGGGTTCTATAGTTCTCTTTATATCATATACTGATATCTATGTAAAGTTATTAGATAAACTATCTCTGATTCAGTTTATCTCCGTATCATTCGAATGTATTGCCAGATAGTTTCATTGTATGTATCTATTTTCACTGTATTATGTTTCATAATCTTTGTATGTTTGATATCGTATGAGAGTCCTGTGAATAGTTTAGTACTAGTTTGTGAGTAGTCACTACCCTTTATGGATGATCAGTAAATCCTCCCCGGAAGTGTAACTAGAGTCTCCTGGAGGGAGAGCGAGGAATTTATGAATAGATCTATTCGGGACTGACAATCCCACACCTTAACTGCTAGCTACAGTTAGGCGGGCACACCTGGGGTGACAAATTTCTGGATATCGTCCGACGTCTGACAAACGTCAAGGAGGTCTCGTTGTTATATCAACATGGTTACCCGACTCACAATATGTATTAATATAATTTTATTCACATCCTTGGTTTTAGAATCTGTATCTAGTTCGGGATAGTGATCCCATGGTTTTATCAAAACTAACTTTTATCTAATTTGGGATAGTAGTCCCACGGTTTTCAGTCTATTGAACTTGTATCTGGTACGGGATGTTATTCCCATGGTTTTCAGTATGTATATATATCTTATGTCAAGTACGGGATGATAGTCCCATGATTTCAATCTATATCTTGTACGGGATAGTAATCCCATGGTTTTGAAACTATATCTTGTACGGGATGATATTCCCATGGTTTTATCAAACAATCTTATATCTAGTTCGGGATAGTAGTCCCATGGTTTTCAATCTATATTTCCTAGTATCTCAAACTATCTAGTAACTAGTTCGGGATGTTAGTCCCAAGGTTATCAACTACTTTCTATCTACAATTCGTGTATATTATGGTATTTCATATCTAATTCGGGATATTAATCCCATGATTTTCAATATATAGTTTTGTGTATTAAACTATACTCTGTGTTATTCAATCAATCTTGCATTTAGGAAAATATGGGATTTTCCTGGAGTTAACATATAACGCGTAACTGAACTGTAACGAAAGATAACGAAACTGTTCAACATAAGAAAATATGGGATTTTTTCTTGGATAACAAACCTTTTTGGAAAACTAAACGAAACCGATACATTTTCATAAAACAAAACCGCTTATGAACTCACCAGCTTTATGCTGATTTTCAAACCGCTTGTATTCTCAGGTCCAAGTTAGACAGGTACCCGGTGATCTCTTTTGGTGAAGACGAAGTACTCAGAAGACTCGTCTCGTTTTGTTCATATGATATATGTATAACTTTTGTACAATTTACTTTTGAAACAAATGTAAACTTTCATATATATGTAATGTAATGGTTGTTTACTGTGATTACTATGTACATTGGATTTGATACACAACGTGGAGTCCACCCCGGAAATGTTTCCGCCTTTGATTTTCGGGGTGTGACACTTTCATCCCTTGATCTTATGGAATTGAAAGGTCATGTTTATTAGGGTTTACATGGATGTAACCCTAATCTACCACATTATTTAAAGGGGTCCTTGGCACATGAAATGGTACTAGGGTGTGTGAAAAGAAGAGTGGGCCGATTTCTAAGTGTGCATACTACTCTCTCTAGTTTTTCCAAGTTATGTGGTGATTTGTGATTACATTTGAGGCATCCACATTATTAATGCTTGGCTCTCTAACTCTAAGCAATCAACCACAAGCAAAAGGTATGTCATTCTACTAGTTTTTATGTTACAAGTACCCCATGCCATGCTAGTTAGGATGAGAACCTAGGAAAATTCTTATTTTCATGTATTTTAGAGAAAACATAGGTCCAAGGTTTCTAGGGTTACATGTACACCATAGGAGTGTTAGAATGCTCAAAACCCATCACAAGTGATGCACTGTGAGCCTATTACAGTTAGCCTGTCTCAGGCTTTTTCCCCTTGTCTGATGAAATGTGAAAGGTCCTCGACGAAGTGGATAAACCTAAAAAGGGAGGCAAGAACAAGAGTATGAAAGTTGGTCCGTCTGAACCAGCTCCATCACCCAAACAGGGAGGAAAAAGAAAACACAATGCATAACCTTCCATACCAGATCAAGCACCTAAAAGGAAAAGAGTCAATAAAATGGCTCGTAAACCATGATCTCCGACACCAAGCGATCAAGAGGGCTAGCTATCTCAAACAGTTCCAGAGATTCCGATTCAGAAGGAAGTTCACAATGAAGAGGATGTTACATCTCAACCAAAGGTTTTGGAGCCAGCAACTACGAACCCTGAGGTAACATATGAAATCCCAACTTCTATTCCATTCACTGAAGAATTATTCCAAGACTTTTCTGTCCTTTCTCCCACTGTCACTATCTCCACTCCTATTATAATTGCTCCATGCCCACCGGTGTTATTGAGCCTTTCGCAAGCCCAAACCCCACTTTTCACAGATTCAACAGCTACCACCACTACCTCAAATGTTGAAACTCTAATAACTGTCAACACATCTGATGCGGGGGCAGGAGCTTTGGTTTTCTCAGTCGGTCATTCCACTCCACCCATTTCTCCTTTCCATCAGGATGATCCGGACATGATCTATGGTGCTGATGACGACGAGTTCATAGAATTCACCTACAGTCCATTCAACATTCGAACTGAAAGTGATGACGAAGCTCCTGTCACAAGAGTGCAACTCAAGGCAATCAATGAGAAACTAGATTTGTTGCTCCAATCATCTAAAGCATCATCCAGTGAAGACTATTTGCAACCAACGATCAAGTACTTCTTCGAGACCCTTACGAAAGAACATTCTGCTAAACTTGAAAAGACGAACAAAGTGGTAGATGCTTCTGCTTCAGTGTGCAACGATACGACCGAAAAAGTTGATAAACTAATTACAAATCCTCGCTTGTTCATGGAAAAATTCCAGAGCTCCTTCGAGTGCAATACAATAAAGGCTAATGAAGTTATTTCTAGCCTAGGCTCCACCCTTAAAACGGAGAAGGCGAAACTTGAACAGGTTCGTTGTGGCCCCCAAACAGACAATGTCGAGCTCAACTCCTTTATTTTATCAAAGATCACAAAACTTCAAGATGAATTGGCAGCCGAGAATAAGATAATGGATGCTCTCGTTGTAAATACTAAAAAGGTGATATTCTTAAAGGTCAAGTTAAAGAATGTTGAGAAACAAATCAATGATCACTATCATTGTTAAAAAGCATTTGTCCGAAAAGCTAAGGCTAGTATTCGCAATGCTTCACAGACTGGAAGGTGTTACAGAATTACGCTTGATCCCAAAACAAGGGGGAGAAGGAGTGAAAAAATCCAAGAAGAAAACCACCAAACCTTCGATCAAGACCACTGTCAAGCCTAAAAGCGAAAATTAACCAAAAGGCAAAGAGAAACTAATCAATGAAGAACCAAATAATTGATAACAATGAACATGAAGAGCCTGACAAACATGAGCTGAAAAGAAGAAAAGATTGTGAAGCTCAGATGGATGAGCACCAAAGAATCATTCACGAGGCTGAAGAGAAAGAAAATTTCGAATGTGAAGCTCAGGTCACGTTGGAAAGCCGAAAGATTTTGTTTCCAGTATAGACTTTGAAGCGAATTCTTAGTGAGGTTGTGGATATGCCGAGCCTTTATTAGTTGGAACCGGTTGCATCTTTTGATCTTCAAAATACACAAGATTTGCAGTTGGATCTTCTGATCACACCTATAGCCTTCATGTTTAGTAGTTTTGTGAAAGTTGTGAATGTTCTGGCAACAGACAACGGTGCAGATCACTTGCTTTTCTCATTATACCTAAAGCACATGAAGCCGCAGTATGAAACGTGGAGTGCAAGCAAAATTACAGTTGTGTAGGTCACCGGTCCAATCGAACCCAATAGCTTCCCAAATGTGAAGTTTAAGGTTGCTAGAGGTTCTTCGAGTTAGGTCTACAAATTCACTCTCGCTAATCTGTCATGCCTAAACTCATACGACTCGATCGTGTTGTACAACTTCTTGCTAAGGGGTGAACAAAATTATGAGCCTGTTGTTTCTCACCTTAAGAAAAAGTTAATTTCATATATTCAAGAAGTCGGCAAGATGGATATTGAGATTGTTGTTGTGCTGCGAAGGAAGCCAAGTATACTGCCAAAAGAAACCCCATAAGGTTTTGATAAAATGAAACCTAGGAAGATACAAAAAGAAGGTTGGTGTGTTGCCATTCAGATGAAAGAAAGAACTGATGCAGATTTTTACAAGGCTTGCTTCTTTCTTACTAATAAGCACTTTTTCTCCACTTCATGCCTTTAATATATCTTGGACTTCGTCAGCAAGTACAAAAGGAGCATCAAAGGCGACAAGAAGTACTTTTCAGATATGATTCATTGGTATATCCAAGTTCAAAAAGTTATGTTGAGCGTCAGTCCGAAAGTATTTGAAGTGCAGAAGCGAACTTAGCAATGAAGCACTCTCGCCTCAATTGACGCAAAGGGGGAGATTGTTAGAGTTTAAAGTGATGCGTCTTTTAGGATTTTTACATAGTCTTTTGTATATCCAGTTGGGCCTGTCCACCCGTGATTAATGATTATGTTTTTACTATTAAAGGTTCATGCGTGTATCGTGTATTAATTAACCGTGTCATTGTAAACCCTAATAGCCGCTACAGTAGCAATTCTTTATCGAGCCCTTCTGAGGTTGTGACTTTTAATCATTCGACAGATTCTTAATTTTTAATATTGGATTTGGTCTCTAAGCCCATAACTATATCTAGTATGTACTTGACCCAATTATAGCATGGTCCTTTTGGTTTGCCTTCACTAGTGCAATTTGATAGGATAGACTTTTGAGAATAAGGTTATTGATGATTTATTAATATCTTATAAGTATAATATATTAATTGAGAAATCATATTATTTAATTAGTTAGTATTATTCAAGAATTAATTTGGAATTAATTTAGTGGTCAGAAGAGACTAATTAAATATACGAGGTTAATTCTGTAAATCAATCATTCTTATAGTGTGGGCCAATATTCCGTTAGAATGGGCTAAATAGTCTATGGATAGTCCATGGAGTTTTAACCCATGGAGCCTAAGGGATATGGAAGGTCATGGTGCATTAGGGTTACATGGATCGAAACCTAGAGTTTGAAACACTATAAAAGGAACCTCTTGGTGACAAAAATCGATAGCACAAGATACACTAAGAGTGTAGAAACGATTTTGAGCTTACAAGTCTTATTCTCTTAAGCCTCCTTTGCCTTTAGTGTTTGTAACACATTAGAGGCATTACATTTGCGGTGCTAAAGCTTCCAAGGCCAAGAACTACACAAGAGGTAAGCCATCTAAATAGTTGTTATGTTCAATGGTATGCTAGTTAAGTTGTATGCTTTGGAAATTTGAAAAATACATGTATAATTTGAGAAAACATAGTTCCAAAGCATCTAGGGTTGCATGTGCACCATAGGAGTGTTATAGTGCTTAAACCCAACAGTGGTATCAGAGCCTAGGTTTGTTTTCTATTATATGTGATGCTCACTTGTTTTCAAAGCTGGAAAAGCAATTTTTCTGCACTCTGAAAGGTGAACTCAATGAGTCCATAAGTAGACTCGCCGAGTCCACTCAGTAAAGCATCAACTTGGCGAGTCCAGTTCATGCACTCGACGAGTTGGTGCTCCTTTGTGCAGAATTTAAATGTAACATATACGTTTTGAAATCATGTTTTGTAATGAATAATATTATGAAATATTATGTGATATTGAGTATTGAGTTCTCACAGATGGTTTTTACTGGAATTGAAGTAAAACTATGTTTACAATCACTCGGAAAATATTAGAAGTCTAATGAGATTTCAATCAAAAGTCAAATATCAAAATTTAATGAAAATATAAAATTTTACTTCAAATTTTATTGATGAAAGTTTTAAATAATCTCGTTAGAAGCATTTAGGCGAAAACCTCGTCGAAATCCATGCTATAACGAAGAACTTATGTCTCCTTGAAGTTTCGCGACTGAACCGGCACAACGTCGAATGACATAAAAAGTGAGTTTTCGATAAACTACTTTTTTAGCCCTTAAAATCTAAATGAAAGTCGTAGTATTCGTTAAACCAAGAATTTTCATAAAAAGAACGTCTAAATCTGACTTCGTATGAGGAAGTTATGATTTTTCTAAATTTCGGATTAGTAGTAGACAGCTAAAAACTCAAAACAAATATTGAGTGATTTTTATCCGATGCAACCTAAACGAGAATTGAAGGTCTCGTCAATAGTAGTACAACGGTAAAAAGACAGTCGAAAACGGACATCGGATGAAGAATTTATGAATTTTAACAGACTTATCTTGTCCCAGCCTGTTAAAAATAAGGAAATCTTCAAAAAAGTACCAATATTGATGAAAAAATTACACTTTAGTCTCAAGATTTTTTTTTTTGAATGAAAAAGTCCTGAAAACCGGCAAAATTTTGCAGTTTGACCCTTTTTGACCTGTTGAAACCGGTAACAAATTAATTTGGGACTATTTCGTAAACTAACCCAAAATATTATGACTTTTTTGTAAACAAAAAATATTTTGACTTTTTCTGTAAATAAAAATATTTTGACTTTTCTACAAACAAAACATTTATTATTATTATTATTATTATTATTATTAAAAAATATAAATTAGAGTACTATTTTTTGAACTTGTTATTATTAATATTGTTACTAATACATATAAATGCATTTAAATGAAAAAATAATATTAATGACATTGTTTATGGGTGGAGGTGAAGGAGGTGATGATGATTTTAACATTGAAATCGTGAATGTGTACTCGTTTATTTTTACTTTGTATATGGTCATTTCACATTTGTTATTATTGTTTTCAATACAGAATATTAATACTTAACAATTTAAAAGAAGTTGCATACTTGTAAAATTGTTAATAAATATTTTAAGGTAGAAGGGTTTCTCACTTTGTATATAAAATTGTTTAATGTAGAAGAATTACTTTTCCAAATCCAACAATTCCACTACAAACACCTACATAGGTAACCATATCAAAATTCAAAAATATTAATTACAATATCTTGTTTAATAAAAAGTAATGGGACATGTTTTTTGGATTGATACTTTTGAATTTTCATTAATACTTTTGAATTTTTCCTATTACTTTTTATTAAACAAGATATTGTAATTAATAGTTTTGAATTTTGATATGGGCTACCTATGTAGATGTTTGTAATCTTTGTAGTGTATCTCTTGGATTTGGAAAATAATCCTTCTACCTTAAACATTTTTATATACAAAGTGAGAAATACTTCTACCTTAAACTATTTATAAACAATTTTACAAATATGCAACTTCTTTTAAATTGTTAAGTATTATTATTCTGAATTGAAAACAATAATAACAAATGTGAAATGACCATATACAAAGTAAAAATATACGAGCACACATTCACGGTTTAAATGCTAAAAGCATTACCATCTCTTCCACCTCCACCCTGAAACAATGTCATTAGTATTATTTTTTCATTTAATGCATTTATATATATTAGTAACAATATTAATAATAACAAGTTCAAAAAATAGAATTCTTAATAATAATAATAATAATAATAATAATAATAATAATAATAATAATAATAATAATAATAATAATAATAAGGGTTTTGTTTGTAAAAAAGTCCTAATAATTTTGTTTACAGAAAAGTCCTAATATTTTTTTATTACAGAAAAGTCCCAATTTTTTGGGTTAGTTTAAGAAATAGTCCCAAATCAATTTGTTACTGGTTTCAACCGGTCAAAAAGGGTCAAACTGTAATTTTTTGCCGGTTTTCAGGACTTTTTCGTTTAAAAAAAATCTTGGGACTAAAGTGTAACTTTTCTGTAAATATGGGGACTTTTCTGAAGATTTCCCTTAAAAGTATAATAATAAAAATAAATTCAAAATTAGTTGACGGAGTCTAAACGAAAGTTATAGAGCATAATTTCACCTACGCGTGCATATAAAGAACGTCAAAAACGGAGTTCGTATGCAAAAGATATGAATTTTACAAGTTTTTGGCACAAATATAAAGGCTAGTCCGAGGAGGTACACCCCGCGTACAAAATTACGCCCAATGTTCGCATGTAAGGCCTCGGATCAGCCACGTCATTCTCTCTTCGCACGAAGCGCCACATCCGAGCTCGAGTTCCGATCAGATAACTCCTCGCAAGTACGCCCAGTGTACAGAGGACTTACGCTCAGTGTAGTAAGCAGCTTCGGTCCCTTATAAATAGAGATCGAGGGTGTCCGGATTTATTTTACATTTTCTTATATCTTTCACCCTCTTTCATCCTTTTAGTCTACTTTTGACCCCCGAAGCCCCGGTATCATTCCCGACACCCGAAGCAAAGGCCGATGCTCCTAATTTCCCGAGAAAATTATATTTTCAAATTCAGAACTCTACCCGCACAAGGTCTGGTTTTCGATAAAAAAATCTTCGGTTTCATCATAGAAAGTCATAATTAGAGCCGAAGTGCTACCCAAATTAATATTTTAACCCCCAGTTATTTCAATGTGAGTTCAATACATAGGAACATTTGTATGTTATGTATTATATGTGTTATGTGCTTTTCAATATTATTATCTTGTGTTGTTATTCCATGCTATATTGGTAGCAAAGTTATACCTTTGGCCATGTGATCAGTGAAACAACTTAGATTTACAATGGTATTGGTATGTAGCCTATGGTAGTGTAGAGCATGTCTCGTAAGAGAATGACTTCTACCCTTATGGCATTGACAGAAGGTTAGATAGGGTTGAAAGCTTGAAATCTACCAAAATGTTTAATCAGAAAGTGTATGTCTTCTGTGCCATTTGGGCCGAAGCTTTATTGATGTATATAAAGTATT